AATTCAGCAACATATCAAAAAAATAATTCATCATGATCAAGTGGGATTTATACCAGGTATGCAGGGATGTTTCGACATTAGAGAAACAATCAGTGTAATCCATCACATAAATAAAACAAAAGACAAGAACCACGTGATCTTATCAATTGATGCAGAAAAGGCATTTGACAAAGTCCAACACCCATGCATGATAAAAACTTTCAACAAAACAGGAATAGAAGGGAAATTCCTCAATATAATCAAGGCTATTTATACAAAGACAACATCATCCTAAATGGAGAGACTTTGAAAGCATTCCCCTTGAGAATGGGAACCAGACAAGGATGCCCATTATCAACACTCTTATTCTACATTGTGCTGGAGGTCCTAGCCAGAGCAATTAGGCTAGAAAAAGAAATAAAGCGCATCCAAATCTGTAGCGAAAATGTCAAAGTATCTCTATTTGCAGATGATAATGACCTTATACACAGAAAATCCCAAAGAATCCACAAGAAAACTACTGGAACTAATAGAAGATTTCAGCAATGTTTCATGATACAATATAAAAATACAAAAATCAGTTGGATTCCTTTACCCCAACAAAGAGAACCTCGAAGAGGAAATCACAAATCAATACCATTTACAATAGTCCCCAAGAAGATAAAATACTCAGGAATAAATCTAACCAGAGACGTAAAAGATCTCTACAATGAAAACTACAAAGACAATACTGCAAGAAACCAAAAGAGACCTGCATAAGTGGAAAAACATAGCTTGGACGTGGATAGATAAGACTCAACATAGTGAAAATGTCAATTCTACCCAAAGCGATCTACAGATACAATGCAATCCCGATCCAAATTCCACCAGCATTTTTTACTCAGATGGAGAAACAAATCACCAACTTCATATGGAAAGGGAAGAGGCTCCAAATAAGTAAAGCATTACTCAGGAAGAAGAAAGTGGGAGGCCTCCCATTACCTGATTTTAGAACCTATTATACCACCATGGTAGTCAAAACAGCCTGGTACTGGTACAACAACAGATACATAGACCAATGGAACAGAATGGAGAATGCAGACATAAATTCATCCACGTATGAGCAGCTGATATTTGACAAAGGCCCAAAGTCCATTAGTTGGCGAAAAGACAGTCTCTTTAAGAAATGGTGCTGGCTTAACTGGATATCCATCTGCAAAAAACTGAAACAAGACCCATACCTCACACCATGCACAAAAAATAACTCAAAATGGATCAAAGTCTTAAATGTAAAATGAAAAACGATAAAGATCATGGAAGAAAAAATAGGCACAACGCTAGGAGCCCTAATACATGGCATAAACACAGTACAAACCATAAGTAACAATGCACAAGCACCAAAAGAGAGACTAGATAACTGGGAGCTCCTAAAAATCAAACACTTATGCTCATGAAAAGACTTCACCAAAAGAGTAGAAAGACAACCTACAGACTGGGAAAAAATTTTTGGCTATGACAAATCTGACTAGTGTCTAATCTCTAAAATCTACAAGATACTGCAAAACCTCAACAACAAAGACAAATAACCCAATTAAAAAATGGGCAAACGATATGAACAGGCACTTCGCAAAGGAAGATATTCAGGCGGCTAACAGACACATGAAGAAATGCTCATGATGATTAGCCATTAGAGAAATGCAGATCCAAACTACAATCAGATATCATCTCACCCCAGCAAGGATAGCATTAATCCCAAAAACACAAAATAATAAATGCTGGAGAAGTTGTGGAGAGACTGGAACACTTATACACTGTTGGTGGAAATGTAAAATTGTACACCCACTTTGGAAATTGATTTGGCGCTTCCTTAAAAAGCTAGAAATAGAAATACCATACGATCCAGCTATCCTGCTGCTCTGAATACATCCTAGAGAAATAAGAGCTGTCACACGATATATGCACACCCATGTTCACTGCAGCACTGTTCACAATAGCAAAAAGATGGAAACAACCTAGATGCCCATCAACGGACGAATGGATAAACATATTATGTTATATCTACACAATGGAATACTACGCAACGATAAAAAACAACAATGAAGCCGTGAAACATAACATGGAGGATCTGGAGGGCATTATGCTGAGTGAATTTAGTCAGACACAGAAGGACAAATATTGCATAAGACCACTATTATAAGAACTCAAGAGAGGTTTAAACACAGAAGAAAACATTCTTTGATGGTTACGAGGGTGGGGAGAAAGGATGAGGGTTATTTACTAACTACATAGTAGATAAGAATTATATTAGGTGAAGGGCAGGAGAGCACACACTACTGAGGAAGTCAGCACAACTGGACTAAACCAAAGCTAAAAGTTTCCTGAATACAATCAAACACTTTGAGGGACAGAGTAGCAGCGGTAGGGATTTAGTGACCATGCTTTCAGGGGACATCTAGCCCAAGTGGCATAACAAACCTCATTAAGAAAATGTTCTGCATCCTACTTTGGTGAGTGGCATCTGGGGTCTTAAAAGTTTACAAGCGGCCATGTAAGATGCATCAATTGGTCCCAACCACCTGGAGTAAAGGAGAATGAAGAACACCAAAGACACAAGGAAAGTAGTAGCCCAAGAGACAGAAAGGGCCACATAAACCAGAGACTTCAACAGCCTGAGACCAGAAGAACTAGATGGTGCCTGGTTACCACCAATGACCGCCCTGACAAGGAACATGACAGAGAGTCTTGGATAGAGCAGGAGAAAGATAGGGTGCAGAACTCAAATTCTAGTGAGAAGACCAGACTTAATGGTCTGAATGAGACTGGAGGAACCCCGGAAAGCATGGCCCCTGGATTCTCTATCAGCCCAAAACTAAAACAATTTCCGAGGCCAACTCTTCAGACAGGGATTGGACTGGACTGTGGGACATAAAGGGATACTCGTGAGGAGTGTCCCTCTTAGCTCAAGTAGATACAAGAGACTAAACGGGCAGTTTCTGCCCGGAAGTGAGATGAGAAGGCATAGAGAGTTAGGAGCCGGTTGAATGGACATGGGGAATCAGGTGTGGAAAGGAGGAGTGTGCTGTCACAGTATGGAGAGAGTAATTAGAGTCACATAACAATGTATGTATAAATTTTTGCATGGGAAAAAAAATACATATACAAAAAATTAGAATTATACATAGTAAGTCTGATACCGCTATAACAATTGTAATACCTCCAAACATTGAAATGGACATAGCAGCAATATATAAAAACGTTGTCTACATCTGTGGGTCCAGAAAAAGCAATAAAAATTGGAAAATACAAAGCGATCAGTTAACGCCACTGAGGAAGTAACAAGAACTTGGTTGTTTGAGTGTTATATAAACAGCTGGCATTTTGGGCATGTCGAGTCCCCGGGCGATGCAAACAGTTACTGTGCTCAGCTGCCAAATGAACGGCTGGAGGGTCTAGTTTACGCAGAGATGCCTCAGAAGAACTTCTTGGCTATCTACATCCAAAAAATCAGCAACGGAAAGCCCTATGGAGCACGGTTCTATTTTGACACACATGGGGTCACTGTAAGTCAGAATCAACTAAACAGGCAACTGATTTTTCATTTTGAGTATATAAAACTCAGTAATGCTGGTTTTCATTTGCAAAATCAGTTTAAATTTATAGATGCCAAGAAATATAGTTTAAAATACTATATAAATTTTCATCAAACACACATGTACAAAAATATTTTTCTTTAATAAAGATTTTCAACACGTCATATATTGAATGGCAAACCACTAAAATGTTATGTAAACAGCCCAATAGATTTTTATTATTTATCTTTCAGATCATATAATTTTTCTTTAAAATTTGTACATATTCTTGTGATGTTTTCAAAACTAGATCTTGATTTGACTCATCAGTAGATCCTAGAGGAGAAGCTCTACAGGATCCAGATTCAAATTCAGCAGCAGCTGGAAAGGAAAAGAAAAAATTATATTTTCTAAAATTCTTCATAGTTAACTAGGTATAAGCCAGTAAAGAAAAAGTTGAAAACTTTATCAGTGTTAGTAAAAATGAAAAATATGTATGTATGATTATGGTACAAAACACGAGATTACTATTAAATATGATTGTCTACATTTGCACAATGAATTGTCACTGTGGTTAAGTATCAGGGCTTCTGGTTTTCTTATTCTTCATTCATTTTTTCAATAACCATGTGCTAAGGTACTATGACAAGGGCTGGAATTACAAGATGAAAATGACACAGCCTACCCCTTAACAACTGTGTACTATAACCTGAAAAAAATACAGATGAACAGGCAATTTGCATAAAGAGTCATATACGCCATGATAGGTACAAAAAAAGGCGCTACTGGAACACATAGGAGGGCCATCTATTCCAGGTTTATATCAGTATTACAGGCTTTTTGGGGCAGTTGATATGTAAGTTGATACTTGAAAGACAAGTAAAAATTATGCCAGATAGAGGGAAGACGCATATACAGAGCTGTAAGTGGGGAAGAACGCTGGAATTATAAGGAGTCTAGTTTGGCCAGATGCTAGATCAAAAGGGGAGAGTAAGGATAAGGGGCAAGAGACAAGGCTGAATAACCTGACAAGAACCAAAACGATTTGAGTGTCTTTAATCCATAATAAGGAATTTGGAATTTATTCTGAGGGCAAAAGGAAACTAATGACGAAGTGAATGATCGGATTTAAAATGTCACCTGTCAAGTGAGAGCTATTTGAATTGTTAATTAATTGCTTGACTAGTGCTGGATTAGTCTATCTTTTTGGCCTTTTATCACTACCGGAGATATGAGCACTTGCTGATGCGTCTGTTTTCTGAAAAGAATTTCAGTGTGCAGGCTGACAGTTCACAGGGATGGCAGAAGAGAAGAAAAGGTAGAGCAAGAAATAAAAAGGAACTCAGACATTTTAAAAATATGGAACATGATGAATGTATTAGGAATAATTATATTCTTCATTATGAATGTTTATGCTTTATTGTCTTTCATTAGATGTGTATAAAGAAATATTTAACATAGTGTTTATTACCCAAACAATGGAGGGATCCTATTACTATTTACAGTTTATTTCGGAAATCAATATCTAAATTTAATTCATAAATTTTGTCAACATACCTTCTTCTAGTTCTCTAGTTATATTTTTTTCCAACTCCTGCTGCATCTGAAATAAGTCAAA